AGGGGGAGTCAAGAAGCCCGAAGATGCAAAACCAAACCTTGGTGGACCCTCAAAGCCTACAAGACGGAAAATGAAAGGTGGTTATACTAATGCGAGCGGCGTTTTAAAGGATATGCACCTAGGTTTTCTTACATTTGTAACAGGGGGCCCAACGGAGGTGGTTCCCGTTATTAATACGCCCAAGGCCAAAGTTATTGGTGCCGCTATGCAAAACGATGGGACAGCACTGCAGCCTGGAATATTGTTTGATGAAGCCTTGAAGTGCAATGTCGGTTTGAAGCCAAAGATTGATATTCAATTTGTAAAAAAGAATCCCTCTCCTAGTCCAGAGTTTCTTAAGGAAAACGTTATCACGGAGGCAAATGTTTCATTCTTAACTACGCTTTGTGATACTGTCAGTATGCCGGTAGCTGTTGAATATCTGACAAAGACGGGGAAGAGTGGACAAGACATGCTAAATATGTTTGCAAAGCAAATAGATGCTTTGCAATCATGCAAGGCCTGCTTGGAGAAAACCAGTTCCGTAGAACTCATCTCTCAATGCAACAAAACTATCTGCAACAAGAAGTGTGAAACCTGTTGGGAGCAAAAGCAAGTCTGCGATGAGTGCTCAAAAAACGGCCAAGTTAGTTACTCTCCAGCCCTACGAGCTTGCAATCACTGCTTAGAGAACAATATTCAGTGTGTGCATCTTGCCATCCTTGCCCTTACGTCTGACTGCGAGGAGGGAAACAAACAAGCCATGAAGTTACTGGAGCAGCTTCAGAGAGATGGTTTGGTAGATCCCCAGTTGGAGTTATGTGTTTATCTTCCAGATGCAGTCCATGTAGGAAAAAGTTGCAAATGTAGTTTCAGCAATTGGTTTTGTCTGTTTGACAACAGTCGCCTCTGCTTAGCAGTAGTCCACACACTTCGAGAGGACAGTGACTTCGGCATTAAGTCACAACTTCGGAAGCTTCTCACCAAAGAAGACGTACAAAATAAAGATAGAATGGCAGTTGAACCAATTACACGGTTATGCAGCCCAGCTGTATTGAAGGTGTTGTCTTCTACGCAAAGTGTAGTTCACACGTTGATCCCGGACAAATTCAGGCCAATTGATAGTAACAAAGCTGGGCTTTACCCACATCCCATCTTTATTTGCCTTGGACCCAATGGCAAATTCTTCTTCATGGACTACTCTCCCTTAAAGAAGGAAACAAAGCTGTGTTTGGCTGACCTACACAACCCAGTTCGCGTTAGTGTGGTGAAATCTGGTTTAAGTGATGCAAAGAGCATGTTATATTTAAACGGCAAAGGTGTGGCCCTGGTGGTGGTCTTTATACACTTAAAAATGACTTCGGAGAGGTCGAAACGTCGTGATTTTTTATCGCTAATATTTATCTCAAAATAAACAAATGTGTTTTGAATAAAAATATTTAAGAAACAATATCTATGCTTATTCTTCTGTGTTTGCGATAACATTAATTCAAAATAAGATCATGCGGCTACAGAATCCATGTTACATTTAAATGATCGATGCTTTTACAGCTGTTTGTGGATAACACCCGACTTGCGATGCCAAAAACGTCTTTGAATTTTGTGTTTTTCTACGACGTCAATCAAATTCTGAAGAAGCGGCACTTTCTTCGCTTTCTCGCTTTTTATACATCTAAGCGAACCTCTTAGGAAACAAAAGGTCGTCGTTCGTGATTTGTGATTGGTGGATTTCGATCCGTTTTGTGCGTTTCTGTTTTTCAAGGTTAGATGCTTTGGTTTTGAAAAGCACCGTAAGTTTTACCTTAGCTCTAAGATTTTTTTTTAATCTTCTTTACACTGAAACATGGCAAGTTTGGATTCCAAAGGTGAAATTGTTCCTATAGAGCTTCCAAATCCAGAGGAAACACAGTTACGGAGGGGTGAAAACGAACCGGTACGTTCCCGCTAACATTTACATTCGCTGACAAACACAGTGGATGCTACGCTAACGGTTTGATTGACACCGCAGAAAAATTTGAATTTGGAGCATGCTCAATATGAATTGTTGAGGATGTCGGCAGAGGTTCCTTCCTCTTCCCCACTTATCTAGGAAGATCGAAGGAGACTCTGTTCGCAGGGTACAGCAGCCTTACAACGCAGACCACAAAAGATTTTGTTTTCTTGCTCTTCTTTAGTACTAGACGGAAGCACACCTTCAGGATATTCTGATAGATTAAACTTTGTAGGAAAAACAGATTAAGCGACGGATAAATTCCACTTGCTCTGTCTTGCGAGACTTTACTGAGAAAGTATTAAAATAAAATAAATGTTTTATGTTAGTTTCAGTTGAAAATTTTTGCCAACACTAGAACGGTTTCTTGGAAATGATTCCTAATTCTAGAATTCAGAAACTATGTCATATTTCTATGTCAGTGTGGCTCATCACAGTTGAACATACCGACATGGTTTAATATTCCTGATGCACTTGAATTAATGCAGTACTTTTTTCCTAAAAGCCAATTGAACATCCGGTGTTTAGTTAATAATCTTATGGCTTCTCTACAATTGTATCTACCGACATTCATGTTTGTGAGGACAGTGTAGATTTGTGGATGGGTGATTTGGAGATTTTTCATACTCTGATAGATTTAAATTCTTTTCAAAACCCACAGGACTGTACTGTTTTGCCCAGAGGACCTGTGGTTTTTGCGACGAGTTTTATGTTCATGTCTCAATCCACTTGCTTTTTGAAAACCATAATATAACAGTACATAGAATTAAATTTTGAGATGTTCTGTCAAGTATATTTATGGATCCCACCAACATTAGGAGACAGGCACGTTCATGTACATACTTATCCACGAAAAATAATGGTCTAAGGGATGAAGCCCTTTCAATATCATCTTATTTTATAATAACAATATGTTTGTAAATGAGGTTTAATGTGATGCTTATATAAATGGTACCATAAAAATTCAGATTTCCATTAGCTATTTTCTCATAGTTTATGAAATTTCTTCTCAGTTGTCTCATGAACTGTTGATTCATGACTGAGTCCTGATTTGTTTTCTCTCAAAAGCTCTTTCCTAGATTGGATTTGTGTACTTGATCTAGCCTACCTGATTAACAGTGTACTTTGAATAGGGCTTACTATATCTAACCTGTCATTTAAGCCTTGGTAAGGGAGTTTCCTTTTTTTCTGTACCGACATTGAAGAATAGGGGTCTCTTTTACACTCTACATGCATATAGAGCGCTGTATGTACATTGTATTTTGACATTTCATCCATAATCATCGTAATACTTAATAGGTATTTAAAATATTTATTCCAAATTAATTTAAGTTTTTGATGAAATACAGTTTAGCTCTTCTCTCACCCCCCCCCCC